TAGCAAAGGCCCAGGTCTTCACAGCCATCTTTGAACCCTACAACTCCACAGTCTCTACACGACCCTGCAGCCCTGACTGAAATTTCATGGCAGGCAATGAGGTCATCTGTGATACCTGTCATAGTAATTGTCTTCTTAGCCAAATCATGTCTTCTACTGCTGTTTCTCTTCCATTTGGCAGATTTTCATGTCCATCTTCCTACAGTTTCACACGCCCCTGACTTCTAGACTGAGAAAGCCATCAGGAGCAGGTTTCTTCAGCAAAGATTACCTGTTGCAGGATATTTGATCCCATTGTGAATCTCAAAATTGTGAACTGTAAAACCCTGTTTCTTGTTTAGTGTGGTTTGGCCCTACCACACGCCTTTAATACAAGAAAGTTCTGTTTATTGTAAACAGGTGATTATGGTATGGTTCAGCCATCACTAGGATACACCTTTAATCCAAGAGTTTTCTGTACACCGGATTTAATAAAGTTAACCCTAGGCCAAGAGGCAGAGCAAACCAGCTAACAGATTAAAGAGTAGGAGGGAGTTTGAGTTGAGGGGTATTTAAGACAGTGTGGAGAAGTAGAAGGAAGTTTAGCTCTCTATCTCTTGAGCTTTAGCTCTCTGGGTTTTGGGGCTTTTTGAGCTTTGAGTCAACAACGCTTTGGCCTTGGGTTTTTTTGACCTTTTCCTCCTGGGCTGTCAGCTGAGCTAGAGAGCCTTTTGGGCTTTTTCCATGAGGAATGGAGCAGAGAAGGAAGGTCAGCCGGGTGCTTTCTCTGCCTCTCTGAGCTAGCAGGTTTTCACCCCAGCATCTGGCTCCTGAGTCTTTACTGGTAAAACAGAACTGTTGGGATTCTCATTCTTTTGCAACAACAACCACCAGTGCTTACTTTGAGCTAGCCAACCACATGGTAAAATATAACTTCACCATGGTAAGTAAACACAGGGCTTTGGTGCCTCTTGTGCCATGCTGATGGTGGTTCCTAAAAAATGGCAGTGCTACTCTCGCCACCATTAAGATCATGTCCAGCATATAGTCTGTAGTCTGACACTGTGGCGGCCTCAAGGCTGGCACACACCTCTCCCAGTGTTAACCTGGTGGAGACCTGGACCAGCTACCGGGAGCTGTATGCATGCTGAATAACACCAGTGCCTTTGCTGAGGCCTGGCATCACCGAGACCACAAGTTTGACCTGACAATCACTACACGAAGGCATAGAGTGAGGAGGGACTTTTGAAGCCCATGAGGACATTGCTACCCTACAGAAATAGGGTAGGAGGTTGGTGTGGATGCTGTGGAAGGGGAAGGGAGGGAGGAGGAAAGGAATACTAACCATCCATTGATTTCATTGCAGCAACAGGCCTTATTTCTACAACTTCACCTTCAACCTTCGCTGACAGTTGTTAAAACTTCCTGATTAGATTAGCTTTGCTCATCTTTCTTTTAAAATTTATTTACTTTTATTTTATGTACATTGGTGTTTTGTCTGCATTTGTGAGAGGGTCGGATCCCTGGAACTGGAGTTACAGACAGTTGTGAGCTGCCATGTGGGTGCTGGGAATTGAACCAGAGTCTTCTGGAAGACCAGCCATTGCTCTTAACCACTGAGCCATCTCTCCAGCCCCCTCTTTGCTCATCTTAAAAAATAATCCATCATCATTTTTAGCTGTTTCCACCATACTGGCCAGAGTTCACCAACCTAACAATGTTTCCAGTCCAGCCATTTCCGGCTTTATCAGAGACATATGAGAGCCTCTACCTGGGTATCTGTAAGCACCTCAAATTCTTGCTTTAGTTTCCCGACTAAAGACATCGATGTTCCTTAGATCCCTCTCTTCTCAGAGCCCTACATAACACATTATACTCGTCACACAAAGCTTTACTGATCCCATTTCCTCTGCCCCACTTCCTGCTGTCATTCCCATTTTCTAGATCAGAATTAAACGTACAAACTCCTATAGCAGTCAGGGAATGTACCTGAGTGAAATAAGGTGGGTAGAAACCATGATGATCCATCATTAGGGAGGTCGTGGCATCGTTCCCATCGATTGTGCATAAAGGGATGCAGCGCCTAGGTTGCTAACTTTTCAATATTTCTAGAAAAATAGAGGGCTAAGTGGTTAAGAGTGCTTGCTGCTGCTACAGAGGACCTAGGTCCAAGTTAGGAGCCCAGCCCCTGTGTGGATGGATCACAACTGCTTACAACTCTAGCTCTAGGGGATGAAAAGCCCTCTTCAGGCCTCTTAGGGCAGCTGCACACACACAACACACACACACACACACACACACACACACAGTAAAACTTTTCTTAAAGGATTTATTTATTTATACAGTATTCTGCCTGCACCTGTGCCTGCACACCAGAACTCATTATAAATGGTTGTGAGCCACCATGTGATTCCTGGGACTTGAACTCAGGACCTTTAAAAACAAAGGCCAGTGTTCTTAACCTCTAAGCCATCTCTCCAGTTCCAAAACTTTCTTTTTTTTTTTAAATCAGGAGATGGGAAAGAGGGCTTGGCGGTCAGGAGGACACACCCCTGTACTGGCAGACTACAGGTATGTTCCCAAACACCTGACACCATGGTTGACAATGGCCTGAAACTGCAGCTTCAGTGGATTGTAGAAAAACTGTAATGTTTTTTTTTTCTATATCCAAATAATGACGCAGAGACCTTTCACATTTATTAATGAGCTTTGAGCACTAAGCTGGACAGATATTGATCTAGTCTAACACGTCTATTCTAACCTGGCTACTTTCTAGCCACATGCCTGTGTCCTTTGACATCTCAGTCTCACCTTGGCTGGTTCTGCTCCATCTGTCTGTCCTCATGGTGACCTCCACATGGCCACCTCCTCCTCCTTTTCTTTTCTGCTCCCTACCTGAGACCCTCCTGACTGAGATCAAAAGTCCTGCCTCCTGTCCTCTCTGCCCAGCTACAGGCTTGACCAGCTCTTTACTAACCAATGAGAGATGATGGAGAACAATTTTTACACAACACTGAGGCAGGAGATATTTTTAATTAAATTTTTATTTTTTATATTAACTACAATTTATTCACTTTGTATCCCAGCTGTAGTCCCCTCCCTCTTCCCTTCCCAATCCCACACTTTCTCCCTCATCTCCTCCTATGCCCCTCGACAGGAGATTCTTCATAGAAATGACAACACCCTGATCTCAGGGCACAGAAATCAGCATCTGAATACAGAGTGCACAGACCATCCCAGATGCTTTCTGGCTTCCCAGGCCTCGGACTCAGACGTTCTTGCGATTAAAGACTCAGCACCATCCAGCCATCTAGGGTTGTTGTTGTTGTCGTTTAAGTATGGACAATTAAATAAAATGGAGAAAAAAACCAAAAAAACTTAAAAAACAAAAAACTTCCTAACACTTCATGCATAGAAAATAGACTTCAACATTTTGTCCTCTCTACACGATATCTTCTTCCCTTTCTTAACTGGATTTATTTAAATCCTCATGTGTATGTGTTTGTATCGGAGGTGTGCATGCTCTCAGGCCAGAGGTGTAGAACCCCCTGGCGCAGGAATTACTGTTGTTTGTGAGCCACTGTGGATGCTGGAAACCGAACTCTGGTCCTCTGGTCCTCTGACAGGGCAGCGAATGTTCTTAAACCGCTGAGCCATTGCTCCGACCCCAAACGCCCTTCCTCATCCTTTTACCCATGTTGTGTTTCTTCTCTTCGGAGGTTTTCCTGGCTCCAATCCAGGTAGAATGAATAGCCCACATCTCTGTCTCTGGACATATCCCTGTCTCCTTTGCGGTGCTTAAATTGTGTTATGATGATGTGTCACCTTTTGGAGCATATGTGTGCGTGTGTGTGTTTCATCCCTGTGCTGTCGGCATTTGACTGGCACCTGACACAGACGGTCCTCTTGAAATTTTTGCTAAGGGAGACCCTGCTTAGGCTCGAGGCCGGCGAGGTTGACGGCGCAGTACGGTTAATGAATCCGGATGACCACTAGAGGGCAGACTAACCCCACGGCGCTCCGGCCCAACGCCAAGCAGTTTGGCGTCCCGTACTCCTTCATTTATTCTTCCCGTGATCATTTCCAACTACAACCTCACAGGTCCCATTTTCATAATCTTCCACACAAAACACTCACCCGAGGTTACGCCTCTTCTCTAGCTACTCCCTCTGTCTCCCGCTTTCCGTTTTCATTTGGGAGCTAAAGAGTTAACTGCACCCTCCCACCTGGTCATCTCGCCCCGCTCGTCTGCGCGGTCTGCGAGCAGGCGAAGAAAGGGGAGGTACTCCCCGATGGGCCGGGTCCCCGTGTCTCCGGCTCGCCTCTACCTGATGGCCTTTTCCGGAAGCCCTCCCAGACCCCTGCGGCCACACACACCTTTTCTGGTCAAGGTGCAAACAAGCCTGCGCTTTCCTCTTGCACGGCAGCCAGGTAGCAGAGGAGGGCCCAGGAGGGGGGCCAGCGGCAGGGGGCGGCTGCTTCGCGCCTCGCTCCCCAGCCCTGCTCCCCCCCCGCCCCCGCGGCCTAGGATCCCCGCCCGCGCGTGCTGCCCGGGGAGGGACCTCTCGCGGCGCGGCGCGGCGGGAAGCGGGTGGGTGGGAACTGCGCGCCCCCAGGGTGGGAGCCCGCAGTGGCCGGAGCCGGGAGGAAGGGGTTAACGAGCCGGGATTGGCTCCCCCGGCTCCCCAGTCACCGAATCTGGGAGGGGAGGATTCGCTGCCTGGCTTGGGATCTTGTGGGCCCCCCCGCCCCCCCGCCCGCCTCCGGAACGGCCGGAGACTTGGGCCAGCCGGACGCCCCTTCTGGCACAGTCCTGGGGCGAGCGCGGGCGCACGCTCCCCTTCCTCGCCGGCGCTCCGGTCCGCCTCGCCCTCCCGGGACCGCGCTCGCTCGCTCGCTCGCTCTCCACCGACTCCCTTCGGGTGCCGCTCGCTCTCACCTGCCCTGAAGCGCCCTCCGCTCCCGGACGCGTCCAGCTCGGGGGGCCCGCTGGACAGCCGGACGGTCGCAGCCCGGGCGGGCGGCGCGCCCTCGGGGCTCCGGCGACGGCCCACCGCCCCTCTCCCCCGCGACCCGCGGGCGCCGCGGATGTCCGCGAGCCGCCGCCGAGCCCGAGGACGCCGGCGAGCCGCCCGCACGTCGAGCGGGCCATGGAGACGGCGCCGCCCCGTCGCTGCGCCTGCTGAGGCCATGCCCGGCTCCGGGCGCGTCCACGCGCGCCTGCGGGCGCTGCTGCTGCTGCCGCCGCTGCTCCTGCTCCGGGGCGGCCACGCGGGCGACCTGACCGTGGCCGCGGTGCTCCCGCTGACCAACGCCTCGTACCCCTGGTCCTGGGCGCGCGTGGGGCCGGCCGTGGAGCTGGCCCTCGCGCGGGTGAAGGCGCGGCCGGACCTGCTGCCGGGCTGGACGGTCCGCGTGGTGCTGGGCAGCAGCGAGAACGCGGCGGGCGTCTGCTCCGACACGGCCGCGCCGCTGGCCGCGGTGGACCTCAAGTGGGAGCACAGCCCCGCGGTGTTCCTGGGCCCCGGCTGCGTCTACTCGGCCGCTCCGGTGGGGCGCTTCACGGCGCACTGGCGGGTGCCGCTGCTGACCGCCGGCGCCGCGGCGCTGGGCATCGGGGTCAAGGAGGAGTTCGCGCTGACCACGCGCGCGGGGCCCAGCCACGTCAAGCTGGGCGACTTCGTCACGGCGCTGCACCGACGGCTGGGCTGGGAGCACCAGGCGCTGGTGCTCTACGCCGATCCCGATCCGCTGGGCGGCGACCGGCCCTGCTTCTTCGTCGTGGAGGGGCTCTACGTGCGGTTGCGTGAGCGCCTCAACCTCACCGTCAACGACCAGGAGTTCGTCGAGGGCGACCAGGACCACTACGTCAGGCTGCTGCAGGCCATGCGGCTCAAGGGCAGAGGTGAGACCGGCACCCACGGACGCCTGGCCCGCGCGGCGCGCTCCCCGGCCTGTCCACGCCTGGCGTTCCTCCTCTTGGGGCGAGGCCTCCCCCTGGCTGCTTCTCCCTTGCCGACACGACTTTCCTACCTCGGAGTTTCTAGTTCCCCCTCTAGGCGCGGGGTTTGCATTCCTACGCCCTCCCTCTCCCCTCCTGACTCCATGACCTTCCTGCTGAGAACTTTTCCTGAGTCAGGCGAGGAAGGGCCTCGTCCTAGCGCTTCTGAGTCCTCAGCTGGGTTTCCCGGCTCTTCTCGCTCCCGTTTTGGCTCTACCTTACCATGTTCTCTCTCCTCTAGTGTCTTCTATGGCTCTCACAGGAGCTTCCAGGTCCCTTCTCCCGCTGGCCATTCTCTGATTCTTCGTGCACTCTTGGTCCCCACCCCCCCCCTTATGTTCCCTCCTTCCATCTCTCTCTATCTCTCACTTCCTACGTGCAAACACCTCCTTCTTCCATCTTTCACGTTCCCTAGCCAAGGCCCAGTCTGAGGCAGGCCTGCTACCATCTAGAGATGTCACTCAGAATTCCTTCCCTTGTAGTGCCTTGTACTCATATTCGCGTTCTCTCTCTCTCTCTCCCTCTCCCCTCCTTCTCTCCCTCCCTCCTCCTCAGTTATCTACATCTGCAGCTCTCCAGATGCCTTCAGGACTCTGATGCTTCTGGCCCTGGACGCTGGCCTGACTGGGGAGGACTATGTTTTCTTCCACCTGGATGTGTTTGGGCGAAGTCTTCAGGACACTCAGGGCAGTATTCCTCAGAAGCCCTGGGAAAGAGGAGATAAGCAGGACAGCAGGGCACAGCAGGCCTTCCGGGTGAGTGCCGAGGCTGGAAGCCCATGTGTAGGACTCTGAGCTGTTCTCATGCTGGGCCACTAGCTAAAATGACTCCAGAAAGAGTTGTACAGTGAACTCCACGAGATTTCGGGGCTTCAGAGCCAGGAAGCTGAACAGATCATTTGATGGGCCTGAAGTAGGAGGATATTAAAAACCCCTGGATTAGACAGGACTTGAATCTTTTGCTTAAGCACAAGGGCCATCTCATGCAGGACACAGGGTTGTCACAGGACAATTTGTCACAGGACAAATTGACACAGGGTTCAATTTGATCTTTGTCTTATTTAATATTTAGTATTTATTTAGGTTCTTTATTTCTTTGGTTTTTGTTGTTTTGTTTGAACCAGAGTCTCTGTATTCCTGGTTATCCTGGAACTCATTATATAGAACAGGCTGGCCTCAACGCAGAGATTTCTCTTGATTCTGCATCCTGAGTGCTAAGAATAAAGGCCTGTACTACCACACCCAGCCACTCGATGATGTGATCTTGACCTAAACAGAGAGGCTGGTCTGGGCGGTGGACCCAACCTCCTGACACCCCACCGCCTTTTCAATGATTCCTTCCTTAGGCTGCCAAAATCATTACTTACAAAGAGCCGGATAATCCTGAGTACTTGGAATTCCTGAAGCAGCTAAAACTCTTGGCTGGCAAGCAGTTTAACTTCACCGTGGAGGATGGCCTGGTAGGGGGGCGTCCTCAGATCCTCCAGTGTGGATCTCTACCCTGCTCTCTCAGGCACTCTAGTGTGCCATCTCCCCCTCTTCCTATTATGTCTGTGTCTCTCCTGATGACAGAGGGGGACATGGCAAGTTCAACCTTGAACCTCAAGTCTTTATCAGGGGAAATGGGAATGACATATCCTGCCCTGTCTGCCTACCTTGACTCAGGGTGGGGAGCAACAGAGGATACAAAAGTATTGTTTAAGCAGTCACCTCTGTGTGGAGTATGGTTGCTTTCAGTATCCCCTTCCAAGCTCCCAGCCCCACCCCCATCCCCAGTTCCCTGCCAACAGCGCTACATTTTGTCACTCTGTACCCTCTACCTATTTTGTCTGAGCGCTGCTTGCTTCTACAGGAAAATATCATCCCAGCATCCTTCCATGATGGGCTCCTGCTCTATGTCCAGGCGGTGAATGAGACTCTAGCCCAGGGGGGGACTGTCACTGACGGAGAGAACATCACTCAGCGGATGTGGAACCGAAGCTTCCAAGGTCAGAGCCTACCTGAATTACCAGCCGGCTCTCCCAGGTTTCACAAAATTCTTCATGCGGAGTCTGCCATTCCCACAGCCAACAGAACTGTCCTCTTCACCATTGGGCATATCTCCATATTAGTGTTTATATCTGTCTCTACCTCGAGAGAGAGATGGTTGGGATGAAGTGAGGCATCTCTGAACCTCCATTATTTCAAAACACAGCCTTCCTCACCTATGTCCCTAGGTGTGACAGGACACCTGAAAATTGATAGCAATGGAGATCGGGAGACTGATTTCTCCCTCTGGGATATGGATCCAGAGACAGGTGCCTTCAGGGTAAGTTCATGCATATACCAAGGAGACAGTGCCGGGCAAGAATGGTGTCTCAAGCCAGCCAGTGGTGGTTCATGCCTTTAATCCCAGGGGTCTGAGGAGGGAACATAGAGTCCTTCCCTTGAGTTCCTAAGACAGGTGAGACCCCATCCTAGCAGAGACAGGGACTCAGGGCCAAGAAAAATGCATATGTGCAGCTGTGTAAACACAGCAGGGACAGGAAAGAGCAGAGGTCAACAGCACCAAGAATCAGATCTGCCATGAAGGCCTCCTGGAGGAGACATATATATTTAGGCCTGGAAGTGTGGACTGAGTTATTATTTCTGTCATGTAAGCAATACCAGTCCCCTGTGTGTATGGTTGACGTTTCCAGTGGGCTCCCATGGATACTTCTCTGCCAAGCCTTTGAGTGTTTAAGGTTTTGCCCCTCACTGCACGGGCATGGATTTGAAGACTCATGAATAGTCACAGCAGGAACCTGGTGAGGAGTTGGTAGCCCAGATATAAGACCTGGAAACAGAGATTGGCAAGCAGGAGGCAAGGTGGCACAGGAGGCTGATCACCACTCCTGATCTCCCTCAGGTTGTCCTGAATTATAACGGGGCTTCCCAGGAGCTGGTGGCTGTGTCAGAACGCAAATTACACTGGCCCCTGGGATACCCACCTCCTGACATTCCTAAATGTGGCTTTGACAATGAGGACCCAGCCTGCAAACAAGGTGACTGGCCCATGCTTCCCGACTCCTGTTGGAGAGCCGCTGCCTCCTCCCCTGGGAGTTAAAGAAGGCTTCTTTGCCCCTGACTTGACTTCCCTTCATCTCTCACCTCAGCCGACCAATCATTAGACGATTCTTCCTTCTTGTTATCTAACCCAACTCTCTGTTCTACAACTTGGACTCTCCCACAGATCACTTTTCCACACTGGAGGTTCTGGCTTTGGTGGGCAGCCTCTCTCTGATTAGCGTTCTGATTGTGTCCTTCTTCATATACCGGTAAGTTGTGGCATGGGGCGCTAAGTGAGCCTGGGGGGCATGGGAGCACGGAGAAGGGAGCAGGAGGAGAGTAGGCCTGGGAGGGACCCTTGTGTGGGAAAAGAATTCTTTCATTCCCTCGGTGAGGAGACAGAAGCCCCAGACTGGAGTCGTGTTGGTTGGGGCTGGGTTATAGCTCCAGAGCGATGTGTTGAGGACTCCGGGGACATAGCAGCTGCGAAGGGACACCAGCGCAGAGGACACTGATGTGGAACTCGCATCCTCTGCTGAGGCCAGATGGAAAGCAGTAGTTCAAACCTTCAGGCAGCCAGGCGGTGGTGGGGCACGCCTTTAATCCCAGCACTCTAGAGGCAGAGGCGGGCCACCCTGGACTAGAAGGAGTTTCAGAACAGCCAGGCCCACACATAGGACAGCCAGGGCCACACAGAGAAACCCTGTCTTGAAAACAAAAATAAAAAACCCTTAAGGTACTGGCCCAAAGGAGTTGGCCCTGGATGATGAATCCTGCTGTGAGCCATGGGCTGACCCTAGATGGAAAAAGAGGGGCTAGAGAGCCCACTCCTGCCTTCCTGTGCACGTGGAAATGAAAAGTACAGCAGAGGATAAGGAAACAGGAAAGAGAAGGGAAGAGAGCAGAGCTGACACTCACGACAACACTGCATTCCTGTAATAATTAAGAATGAAGTAGAGGGGTGGAGATTGAGCTCAGTGGTAGAGCACTTGTCTAGCAAATACAAGGCCCTGGGTTCAGTCCTCAGTTCTGAAAAAAATAAAAATAAAAGAATGAAGTAGAAGACAAGTGTTCTAGTGCATGGCTTTAATCCCAGCACTCAGGGAAGCAGAAGCAAGTGGATCTCTGTGAGTTAGAGGCCAGCCTGGTCTACAAAGTGAGTCCAGAATAGCCAGGGCTACACAGAGAAACCTCTGTGAAAGAAAAGAAAAGAAAGAAGCTGAAGAAAAAGTTGATATGGAGGCCTCCAGTTTCCAAAGGAAAAAACTGAAGAAATTCTCAGCTCAGAGAACGGGACACTCTCACTTATCTCTTAACATGTGGCATGTCCTGGGGCTCTGAGGGTTGCTGAACCCCAGCCAGGGCCAGGGGCTCAGCTGCAGGCTTCCCATCCCAGAAAGATGCAGCTGGAGAAGGAGCTGGTGTCGGAGCTGTGGCGGGTGCGCTGGGAGGACGTGGAGCCCAGCAGCCTGGAGAGGCACCTTCGGAACGCTGGCAGCCGCCTGACCCTGAGCGGGGTGAGAACACTACTGTCTCTGCAGGATGAGTATACCTGAGTACCAAGGGCGATGCCCAAGAGTAAGAGGTGGTTCTAAGCTAGGTGAGGAGACTCACAGCTGGACCCAGGACTTGGGAGGTTAAGACAGGAAGGTAGCTGCAGGTCTGAGCCTAGCCTGTGCTACAGAATGAGACCTTGTCTCATACAAACCAAAACCGGGGGCCTGGAGAGATGGCCTACAGGATAAGAGCATTGGGTGCTCTTCCAAAGGTCCTGAGTTCAATTCCTGGCAACCACATGGTGGCTCACAACCATCTGTAATGAGATCTGGTGGTCCCTTCTGGCCTGCAGGCCTACAAGCAGGCAGAACACTGTATACATGATAGATAGATAGATAGATAGATTGATAGATAGATAGATAGATAGATAGATAGATACATAGATAGATAGGACCAAAACCAAACAAAAGAACAAGTCTATTCCCAGCTCTGGCTTCTCTTGCTCACTCTGACACTGTCTCAGATGAGGGTTGCAGCCTCTGAGACAAGGCTCTCTCAAAGGTCAAAGGGGATGGTCTAAGTAAACACACAAGTATGAGTCTCATACACAACATGAGGAGGGTGAAAGCTAGCCTTGGTGGCTCGCAGCTGTAATCAACCCTCGCCTGGGAGACCGAGACAGTGGCATCGCTACAAGTTCCAGGGCAGCCCTGGCCTAAAGAGTGAGACCCCCATCTCAGGAGGGTGCGCAGAGAAGATGTAGACTGGCCCTGGGCTGACCATGCGGTCTTTCGTTAATCTTTGCAGCGAGGCTCCCACTATGGCTCCCTGCTAATCACGGAGGGCCAGTTCCAAGTCTTTGCCAAGACAGCATACTATAAGGTGGGTCTGGGGAAAAGACTGCTGGTCCTTGGGGCCCAAATGGAGTGTGCTCTGAGGGCTAAGATGACACTGTGGTGGGCCCAGGGGACAGGGGTGGGGCCGGGGGCAGCACGGGCTTTTAGAAGCAAGGAGAGAGTGGGTGTCATGGACGGGTTTTCAGAACCAGATGGGAATCTCGGGCCCTGAACAACAAGTGTCCATTTTTTACTCAGGGCAACCTCGTGGCTGTGAAACACGTGAACCGGAAACGTATTGAGTTGACACGCAAAGTCCTGTTTGAACTTAAGCATGTAATGTAGGGGGCTGTGACTTTGGGAAGGGCTCCATGGGTGCCCTAAGAGAGTCAGCCAACAAAACTGACTGTGGAGGGGGATCTGAATATCTGGGCTGGGCCCGTGGGTCTTGTAGGTAGGAAAAGGGAGATCGGTCGTAAGATGAGTGATCACCGGGTCCTTGGGCACTGGTAGACAGCCTGGAGGATGAGGGGTGAGGGAGCAGATTCTGAAGAAGGACATGGTAACATACATGTGGCTTGGCGAGGTTTGGAGCCTCTGCCAGCGAGCGTCTTAGTGTTGTCCCAACCTGCCTGCAGATGCGGGATGTACAGAATGAACACCTGACCAGATTTGTGGGTGCCTGTACCGACCCTCCTAACATCTGCATCCTCACAGAGTACTGTCCCCGCGGCAGCCTTCAGGTGAGTGGGACAAGAGGGAGTGCGTCAAGAGCCCTGGCTCTTACCCCACTGACCACATGACCCTAGACAAGCCTCCCTCTTTCTGGCCTTTCTCGGCCCTGTCTGTAAATGGGAGTTGGGGGCGGGCACTAGAGTAAATCCAGGTGTCCTCTTCTTTGTCAGTTTGTGCCAGTAGCTCCCTGTACTGTCCTCCCACTCCCAGGGGGTCTGACTCTTGCTGCCCCAGCAGGACATTCTAGAGAATGAGAGTATTACCCTGGACTGGATGTTTCGGTACTCACTCACCAATGACATTGTCAAGGTGAGTCCAGAGGAGCTCACTGGATGCTGGGCAAGGGTTGGGCATGGTTGGAAAGGCACACTCATGCCCAAGCCCTCTGCCTTCCTAAATTCCCCAGGGAATGCTCTTTCTACACAACGGGGCCATTTGTTCCCATGGGAACCTCAAGTCATCCAACTGTGTGGTAGATGGGCGCTTTGTGTTGAAGATCACGGACTATGGGCTCGAGAGCTTCAGAGACCCAGAGCCACAGCAAGGACACATCCTCTTCGCCAGTGAGCCTGACTCTTGACCCATAGGCTTCTGTTACCAACACAACTGAGAAGGGAAACTGAGGCCTAGCCTCTGTGTGACTTGGGTACACCTCTCACCTCCAGGTTCAACCTTCATCGGTTAAAGAGGAGGTCAGGTGGTCTCTAGGCTTCTGGTTCTCAGCCCTGTGCCGTGTCCACAGACCTCTGAGCCACAGCCTTGTTCCCAGCTTATCTTAAACCATCTGTCTGTTTTCTCAGCATTATCAGACCACCCTGTCTTACTTTTATTATTGCACTTATTACCCATGAGATATGATACTCATTCGCTAGTTTTTCTGTTCCTATCAGAATGTAAAGTTGCTTATCCCTTAGCTTTGGGGCCCCTCCTTCTATGACAGAAAAATTGTGGACTGCACCAGAGCTCCTGCGAATGGCTTCCCCACCTGCCCGTGGCTCCCAAGCTGGTGATGTATACAGCTTTGGCATCATCCTTCAGGAGATTGCCCTCAGGAGTGGGGTCTTCTATGTGGAAGGCTTAGACCTCAGCCCCAAAGGTGAGGATCATGTGGCTAGATCCCAGCCAGTCTTGGCTAGACCTCTGCAAACACCCCTGTCCTTTCTTCCGGGTGATGGGAAGCCAACCCCCATCCTTTGTCCCACGGCCGCCGGCGACCGGTCCGCTCTGTGCTCTGCTCTGGACTTTGCCCACCTGTCTGTCCCTGCTGGTTGGGCAACTAGGCCCTTGGCAATGCCACTCTTAAGTGCATCCCCTTCCCACACAGAGGTCATCGAGCGCGTGACTCGGGGCGAGCAGCCCCCGTTCCGCCCGTCCGTGGGTCTGCAGAGCCACCTGGAGGACCTGGGGCAGCTAATGCAGAGGTGCTGGGCAGAGGACCCCCAGGAGCGGCCACCCTTCCAGCAGATCCGCCTGGCGCTACGAAAGTTTAACAAGTCAGTGGCGTCTCCCCACCAGCCACCCTAAACCCCACACCTCAGTGTTCCTACAGCAGCAGAGGGAGCCTGCTGCAGCCATGGCAGCCACTCGGGCATCTGCGCAGCTCTATGACTTGTTGGTCCTCTCAGGTTGTCCTCTGCCGACGTGGACACCACACGTCCTTCCCGCCTGTAGCCCCACACTGACCCCTAGACTTAAGATAAAAAAGAATGCACGTGCCAGATGGCCCAGCCTCTTCCTCCCTCCTCCCTCCCAGTCTCAGTCCTTCTGTCTCCCTTTCCCAGTGTGCCCCCTGGCTCCTTCTCCCAGACATGTCTCTCTCCGCTACCTGCACACCTATCACTGTCCCCAGCTCATCCTGCCTCTCTCCCTCTCCACCTCCTTCAAACTCACTTGTGCTCAATAAGAATAAGACATCTAGCTGTGCACTGAGGCAGATGGATGTCCGTGAGTTCAAGGTCAGCTGGCTTACATACCGAGTTCTGGGTCAGCTAGGACTACTTAGACAGACCCTGTCTAAAAGGGGGTGGGAGGGAACTAGGCATGGTGAGTGGCTGAGTGTGGGCACTGCCAGGCAGGACCAGTCACCTCGTCTCACGGCCCTCAGGGAGAACAGCAGCAACATCCTGGACAACCTGCTGTCACGCATGGAGCAGTATGCCAACAACCTGGAGGAGCTGGTGGAGGAGAGGACGCAGGCTTACCTGGAGGAGAAGCGCAAAGCTGAGGCCTTGCTCTACCAGATCCTGCCTCAGTGAGTACAACTCCGGACACAAGGCCACGTGCACGCACACAGCCCAGTCCACGCCTGCCTCACCTTCTGCTCTCTCCCCTCACCTCAGCTCTGTGGCTGAGCAGCTGAAGAGAGGCGAGACGGTCCAGGCTGAGGCCTTCGACAGTGTTACCATCTACTTCAGTGACATCGTAGGCTTCACAGCTCTCTCAGCAGAGAGCACACCCATGCAGGTGAGCTGGGGTTCAGCCGCAGGCCAGCATGGCCTTTTCGGGGTTAGAGCTCCTGTTTGTCCCTGCTGGGAACCCTCGCTGCCCAGCTCTCACGGCTGCCTCTGCCCCCCAGGTGGTGACTCTGCTCAATGATCTGTACACCTGTTTTGATGCTGTCATAGACAACTTTGATGTGTACAAGGTGGGCTCAGGAGTTGTCACGCTATGAAGTTATGGGGGATAGGACAGATAGGCAGACACGGACAGAGTCAGAAAAATGTGCAGATGGATACACGGAATGGGAGGGGGAAAAAAGCCAGACAGTGCTGATGCACACCTTTAATCCCACCAGTCAGGAGGCAGAGGAAGGGGACCTTTGTGAGTTCAAGGCCAGCCTGGTCTACAGCGTGAGTTCCAGGCTACACAGAAAAACCCTGGATCAAAAAAAAAAAAAAGGAGGAGGAAGAAGAAAGGAGGGAAGGAAGGAAAGAGGAAAGAACAAGGACATGGGCAGAGACACAGGGGCACCCAGGGACAGCCAGAAACTGTGGGTTTGGAGGATGAGTACAGCTGATGGAGAATGATGGGCAGTAAAGATGGCTTGTCATGCTGGTGGCGCAGGGAAAGCTCCAGCCCTCCAGTCCTTCGCTCTCCTGCCTGCCCCACAGGTGGAGACCATTGGCGATGCCTACATGGTGGTGTCTGGGCTCCCGGTACGAAACGGACAGCTCCACGCCCGAGAGGTGGCCCGAATGGCGCTTGCACTGCTGGATGCCGTGCGCTCCTTCCGCATCCGCCACAGGCCCCAGGAGCAGCTGCGCTTGCGCATCGGCATTCACACAGGTCAGACGGCTGCAGGCCTCCGGAGGCAAATCCAAGAGGCTGAAACTAGGGAACAAGTGGTTGTCCCTGGCACTGACCCCTTATCTCCTGTCCCCACACACCCTGGGTCCACATATCCCAACTCCTACCTCTTCCGGGGTGCACACCTACCTCCTCCAACTGCCCTGGGCTCTGTTCCCTTCTTTTCCCCTCCCAGGTCCCGTGTGTGCTGGTGTTGTAGGGCTAAAGATGCCCCGCTACTGCCTCTTTGGAGACACAGTCAACACAGCTTCAAGAATGGAGTCTAATGGGGAAGGTATGATGGCCCTCCTAGAGGGAGTGCGAAGGGCAGCTGGCCAGTGCAGCCTACCTAGGCCTACCTAGTTCCTCAGCTGGCTCCTGACTTCCTTCTACCCTCCCCCCACACTCTGTAAATCAAGAATATTGCTAGGCATGTATGTACGCTGTGTGTGTGCGCGCGTGCGTGCATGTGTGAGCCAGAGAGACAGAGACAAAGGGTTGAAAATGCACCAAGCCCACCTTAGCGCCATAGCTTAGCTACCTGGAGTGTTTTCAGAGCACTTTCATTAGCCTACAACCGAGCAAAGCAATCTAACACAGTCTCACTTTTTCCTGTGTGTGGTATCAGAGATTTTGACAAGTGCCCTAACACTGAGGCATGGAATATATTTATATTCTTTATTCTAATGTGGATCTCATTAAGCTGCTTAGGCTGGTCTTGAACCTATAAATCTCCTGCAGTAGTCTCCAAGTAGCCGGGATAACAGGCCTAGGCCACCAGCCCAGGAAACAAAGTCTGTTTTATAATAATAAAGTATTTAATGTACTTATGCACCCACAAAGATAGGTGTTTTGCTGGTTAGGTGTCTCAGTGGGTGAAGGCGCTTGCTGGGCAAGCCTGATGGCTTGAGGTTGACAGGGAATCCAGAGAGAATGGAGTCCCACAAGTTGTCCTCTGACCTCATGCCAACATACAATAGATGAATAAACATAATTTAAAATTTTGTTTTTAAAAACCACAACGTGCCAGGAGTGGTGGTGCTCATCTTAGTCCAAATACTCAAGCAGCAGAGGCTGGCAGATTTCTGAGTTTGGGGCCATCCTGGTCTACATAGTAAGTTCCAGGCAGGATGGCCAGAGCTACATAGTGAGACCGTCTTATAAAAAACAGACAAACAAAAACCCAATAACTCCTGACAGGGGTCCAAAAGTGTCCTCCCCCCACAATAAGCAAGTACATGTAATAATGAAATATAAAATGCCAAGCATGTAATTTTGTTCATCTTTTCTGGGATCAGCTGCTTTTCCATACAGGGTTTCAGGGTTTCAAATCTCTAGCACAACTCTGGGTTTGCAGTAGGCATCTAATAAATGCTTGTTCCCACCCCTCCCTTGGTTTTGCCTCCTGTCTCTTCTATTTTGTCTACCACGTGGTTGTTGTTTGAGGTAATATCCTCAAGTTGCCAAGGCTGACTTGAACCCCAGATCTTCTTACCCTCACCTAAGTGATCATGGAATTGTTCTACCATGCCCAGGGTTTGTTTGGGTTTTTGTTGTTGTTGTTGTTGTTGTTTGTGTGTTGTTATTTTGTCTTGCGACAGAGACAGAAGCCCAGGCTAATCTCAATCCTTTCTCTCCAGCCTCCCAAGTGCTACAATTATAGACAGTTTCCTACTATATTTGACACAATTCAATTAAGTGAATAGTTATCAGGCAACCACTAAGCACCAGGCTGAGCGAGCTGAGAAGGCTGTGTGGCCCTCACCTGAGCCTCATGGTAGAAAGCCAGCCCCCAAAGCCCGGAGGAGCCCTGTTCAGCTGAGACTCTTTGCACCTATGTTTGGGGCTGAGGGGCAGGAAGGCGCTCCTCTCTTAGGTCATTCTTCACAGAATACGCTCTCAGAAGTGGGTCAGCAATACGGGATTACCACGATGACACAGGTGAGGGGGAGAGTGGCTCAACTTGGGCAGACCTCCTACCCTAGATTTCGATCCCTCAGCCAGAAAAAAAGAACGCTGATCCGCAAGTGCTACACTCCTGTACTCCCAAAGTTCAGGCTAGCCTTGGCTACAGAGTGAAATTATGTTTCACAGAATGGTGTGTGTGTGTGTGTGTGTGTGTGTGTGTGTGTGTGTGTGTGTGTTGGAAGAGTAGGGCATTTAGAGAGATGGCTCACTGGGTGAAATGCTCCCTGTTCAAGCATGAGGACTTGAGTTTGGATACCCAAATGGGCACTAAAGCATGTTACCCCAGCAGTGCAGGGAGGGAGGTTCAGAGAGCACAAACAGGCAGATTCCTGCAGCTCACTGGCCAGGTGAGTCTAGCCCAAACAGGGAGCTCTGAGTAAGCCCCAGGCTCACTAGAGCCTCAAACAGTAAAGTGGAGAGGGACGCAAAGACACTGCAAATTCGCCTCTGCCTCCAGCTGTGTGCACACTAGAACACAGCATTTAGTCAAGTAACTGATTGGCAACAACTAACATAGTGTTTCCTATGGGCCACACTGTATCTAGATACTTTCTGAGTGCTTTATTTCCTTATTTGACCTGCTGAAAATCTGACGGAGGCAAAGGAGAGTGGAGTTAAATCCAGCACCCACCCTTTTGAAATGAGCACTGTCACTGTCAGCCTTTTACAGATTAGGGAGACAAAGCACATTTATCTTAGTTACCTGAGCGTGTCCAGGCTGAGCACCACACTGAGCATCTGCAGTGTGGATTCCTAACCAAGTGTTGTGTGGCCCCTCGGGAGCTGGGTGAGTCGCAAAAGCAATGCTGTGTGGCAATGTTTGCCACAGTGGCAAAGATGCTCTGTAATCCATAGGTCCAGTGTTGTAGCCTTGAGTCTCATCTGGCAATTGATGGCTTAAAAGGTGCCCAGTGAGCTGAGACTATAACTCAGTCTATAGAGTGCTTGCCTAGCAAGGCAGGAAGCCCTGGGTTCGATCCCCAGCGCCACATAAACCAGACTTGGTGATATTTGTCTGTCATCCCGGCACACAGGAAGTGGAGGCAGGAAGATCGGGAGGTCAAGATCAGTTTACATAATATGAGATCTTACCTCAAAAGAGTGGTACAGAGAGCTTGGAAGGGCCAGAGCGATGGCTGAGAAGTTAAGAACACTGACTGCTCTTGTAGAGAACCCAGGTTATGCAGTCACGCTTCACCGGGACAGTCCAGGGCTTCCCGAGCTAAAGGAAACCAGCGCCATCCGCCTCAAGTTCCCAGTCTGCCTGTTTGTTCCTACTCCCACCCCTGCCCCTCCTCACCTTCCTCCTGCCCTGTCCTCTCCAGCCCTCAAGATCCACTTGTCTTCTGAGACCAAGGCTGTGCTGGAAGAGTTCGAAGGTTTTGACCTGGAGCTTCGAGGGGATGTGGAAATGAAGGTAGAGAAGGGACCCTTAGATCCCAGAGCAACCCTAGGCCCCTCCCACACAGAAGCTTCTCAAATGATTTGGGCCCTTCCCAAAAGGGTGTGCCCTTCCCGACCCAGCCTCCTCTTTTTATTTCTTTCAGGGCAAAGGCAAGGTTCGGACCTATTGGCTCCTGGGGGAGCAGGGATGTAGCACGCGAGGCTGACCCACGGCCCCTGCTGTCCCGAGTTACCTCCCTTCCCTGTGCCAGAGGTGACAGAGGCGTCCAGCTTCCTCCCCTCCCACAGCCCAATCACGGAGGAAAGAGTAGGGACCCGACCAGCACAGTCACCACATGTGACCTCTGAGAGAGGATGGGGATGGTGGGGGCTGATCGGAACCACCGAAGTTCACAGGGTTGATGCTCCGGTGTCACTCCTGTCGCATGTGTCCTCCGCCCCACCCTTCCTCAGCCACCTAGATTGGGAAGGTGATTTCTTCTTCTCCCTCAACTCTGCTCCACTGTGACTTTTATAGGAAGGGAAATTGCCACTTGAAGGAACTAGAGATTGCAGGAGTTTACAGGAGGTGGGAAGTCAAATGTCACAAATACTCCCCTCACTCCCACCCCCCTTTCTGCCCCCCAGGCCTTGGACACAAGTGCACTGGGGAGAAGAGAGCTGTGGGTCCCCATGCCCTGCTTCTCCTGTGAGCAAAACCCATTAAAATCTTTATGCCTGAGACAGTCTCTTCTTTCGGGAGAGAGAGTTGCTGGGAAACAGTATTGTTCTTTCTCTACCCTTTGCTTCCAAGAGAGTTAACCTTCAACTCTGTTTCTTTGGTTGTTGTTACTAATTTTTTTTATTTTGTTTTCTGAGACAGGGTTTCTCTGTGTAGCCCTGGCTGTCCTGGAACTCACTCTGTAGACCAGGCTGGCCTCAAACTCAAAGAGATCTGCCGACCTAGTACTGGAATCAAAGACATGCACCACCACCCCCAGCTAATTTTATGCTTTTACTTGAAGAGACCGGAGAATTTCCAGCAGGGTTAAGTTTTTAAGAGTCTCAACAAACCTGTTTATGTGGGTTTGTGTCTGTTGATCCTGGCCTTGTTAAAAATTAAGGCGAACAGAAGCAAGCTGCCTACTTACTGAGGCTGACACAGAAGCATCAAGGTTAAAGGTCAGCCTGGGCTACAGAATTAGTTCAGGTCCAGCCTGGACCACCAAATGAACTCTTATCTCATGTTGGCCCTACATGTTGGCTCACACCTGTAAACTCAATATTTTAGAGGCTGAGTCAGGAGGATTGCTGTCTGAGGCCACACGGGGCTGCCTTCCAAGCCAGACTGACACTTTTTCTCAAAAGAGTTAAATAAAGAGTTGGGGGTGTTGGTTCTGTTCTTACGGTGCTTCCCTTGAGCATAGAACTCCAACTCCGGGCTCTGTCTTGGAAAACAGAGGCAGGAAGTTCAAGGTCAGCCTTCCCCACATAGTGAGTTCAAGGCCCTCTTGCAATACATGAGGCTATCTTAAAACGGAAATCCAAACAAAGTACTGAGGAGGTATTTCAGTGGTAGAGGGTTTGCACAAAGCCCTGTATAAGTTCTCCATATTACTAAATAAATGAAAAAAAAAAAACAAAAACAAAAAAACCAAGCCCTTTTTATTCATGTATTTAATTTCATAATGAACTCTTTACATGTTAAATTTACTTCACTATTTTACAAGGACATTTTGTGTTTTGCTTTTTGAGACAGGGCATCACTATGTAGCCTAGGCTAGCCTCGTACTCCTGAACACTTGACAATCTTCCTCCATCAACCTCCCAAGTGAGCCTCATGCTTTATCAAGGACATTCTTGTTCCTTTTTTCTTAAGTTTGGTTTGGTATTTTTGAGACAGGGTTTCTTTGTGTAGCCTTGGCTGTCTTGGAACTCATTCTGGTCTTGAACTCACAGAGCTCCGCCTGCCTCTGCCTCCAAGAGTGCTAGGACTGCAGGCGTGGGACATCACAGCCAGCTACTTGTTACTTTTTAAATGTATGCTCAGAGGCACATGTGTGAGTGGATTGCTGGGAACTGGGGTCACAGATGGTTGTGAGCCACCATGTGGGTGCTGGAAGCTAAAGCTGGGTCCTCTGAAAGAGCAAATGCTCTAACTGCTGGGCCATCTCTGCATCACTTGAGATAATCTCTTCCTAGCCTGGAGCTTGACAATTAAGCTCAACTGGCTAGCTAGAGCGCCATCTTCCTCCATCTCCCCAAGGCTAGGAAATCAAGTGTGGCCTGCAGCTTTCAAGACAAGTGTTTTACAAAAGAAGCTATCTCCCCACACCACCAAAGACATTCTCGAGAGAAAGGGGCCTTTTCAGTGGGTGACTGTTAGTTTGGGCCTTGATTCAGGTAAAGGCATTCACGATCTAACTCCCACTCTTTCCACACTTATGATACAAAAGTCAGCACAGTAAAAAAGGAAAATAATGCGTTGGTATGAAGAAAATCACGTCAGGGCTGGAGAGATGGCTCAGTGGTTAAGAGCACTGCTAGCTGCACCTTTAGAGGACTCAGGTTCAATTCCCAGCACCCACCTGGCAGCTTACAACCGTCTGTAAGCTGGAACTCAAGTTCCAGGGTTTATCTGTGCATGCAGGCAAAATACCCATATACATAAAATAAAAATAAAATTTAAAAAAAAGAAAAAGAGGGGGCTGCAGAGATGGCTCAGAGGTTAAGAGCACTGGCTATTCTTCCAAAGGTCCTGAGTTCAATTCCCAGGAACCACATGGTGGTTCATAACCATCTATAGTAAGATCTGGTGTGCAGGCAGGCTGTTGTATAAATAATAAATTAATCTTAAAAATTAAAAAGAAAAAGAAAAAAAATCACATCATCTCCTGTATCCCCTGAAAGAGTCCTGGGGTCTCCTAGGATTTCCGGGCATACGTTGAGAACTGTTGTATTACCTGATCAACAGTAGGATAGCATGATTGGTACAGTCTGAATGAGAGGCACAGGAGCCAGGAAGTAGGTGGGCGTCTCCTTTTTCGGCTTCACAGTTGCTAGACAGACCCTGGGCCTTGCCCTTGATGAGCGCTCCACCACCAAGCTGTATTCCAGCTCTTTGGTTCTGAGACAGGGTCTTGCTAGCCTGGAGTTCAGTCTCAGAATGTTAGAATAATAAATTCTTTTATTTTTTCAGATTTGAATTTTTTATAAGTGTTTTGCGTGCCTGCATGTGGGTATGTACCCTGAATGCGCGCCTGGCCTGAAGAGGGTGGAGGAGAGGCCCTGGAACCGGAGTTACAGATGGTGGTGAGCCACTGCTATGGCTGCCGGAAATGGAACCCAGGTCCTCAGCAAGAGCAGCCACCGCTCTTGACCACCAGGCCATCTTTCAGCACCTCGTGGAGCCTTCTGTTTTGTTTTGTAGGTAACACTTTGATTTTTACTTGTTTTGTGTGTGTTGGTAGGGCGCAGGCTCACATAACCCACATCATGTATGTGGAGGTCAGAGGACAACTTTGAGGATTCATTTACCTTCTGCCCAGCGCCTTTACCTGCTGAGCCACAGACCGGTCCTTAGGGATCTCTTTAAAACCCAGTTGTGATGTGGGAATGATGACATTCCTCTTCCTTACACTCTATCCCCTATGCTGGTGTAGATAAGTCTGATTTCCCGGAAATGCCCTGCAGTTGGTAAACTGCTTGCCTGGCATGCATGGAGGCCCAGGTTCCAGCTCTGAGCCTGCAGAAGATGGCCAAGTGCGGTGATCCAGGCCTCTGATTCCACCATTCCGGAGAGAGGAAGGTCATCCTCCACTATCAAGTTGGAGGACAGTCTGTGATACATGATAACCTGTCAGAAATAAGTAAATAAATCAAGGCTGAATCTTCCTTTCCCAGTTCCAACCACTTAACACCTTGCTAAGCAGTCACGCAGGAATGTGGGGGAGAGGTGTAGCTTCACTTCCCCCGCAGGGAAGGAAAGTGCCAGACATTTCTTCAGTGCCATCCATCAAATGCAGACAGGCCTCTGCCCTGACCTCCCCAGGCCTCTTCCTGGAGTCTGTGCCAAGTAGGACCTGGAGGTAGGGTGGAACACCAGGGCGTAGAGGTCCGGCCACTAGGCAGGCAGGGCTCCGCCTTACACCAATGGTGGCTTTAGAGGTCAGACGTGATTTAAGAGAGAAGGTGCCTATGTGGTCCACGCTCGGATGAAAAGCTCTCCGGAGAAGCATAAGGAAAGATGGTCGCCTTGGCAACCGCAGCACGCTCAACTTTCTGTGGGCCCTGTAGCCATTTTAACTCCCACGCCCAATTTCTCCTCTCAGGATCGGTAGACAGGCCCCCGAAGAGCAGCTCTGATGTAACTCTGGGCCTGTGAGGTGACACCAGGGCCCTGAGCCATCCAGGGAGACTGGCGTTGGGAAGAGAGTCTGAGATGAGGTGGGGAAGTGGGTGGGAGCTGGATAACGGAGGAGCTCCAGCAAGGACAATTCTAGGAAACTGCCGGTCAGATCCTTCCGGGGCAGCCAGGCTCCAGCGGGCACCAGGAGGGGAGGCCGCTGGGAGGGGACCCTGAGGAGACGCCAAAGGAGTAGATGATTCCTGCAACCCCAGAACTTTCACTGCAACTGAGGATATTTCCTTCCGGAGTTAGGCCCCTGAAGCCAGGAAGAACTGGGAAAACCATTACTAAGGATGGGGGGGACGGGCGGGGGGGGGGAGAAGCGAGGCCTCCCCTCCCCCAAGCGGGGGCTCCCGCCCCTGTGGGAGGGGCTGTCTAGCCTCGGCGGCGTTTCCTGGGCTGTCCAGCCTAATAGGTTAGGAGGAGGGGTGGACAGGGCAACAGGGTTTCCCTGGAGTGTGGGCTGTGTAATAACAACAGCAACAATTGGCCTTCGGCTCTGCCTTACGGCTGACAAAGGCTTTCACATACATTAGCTCATCAGTTCACGTGACACCCCTGAAAGGGGAGGACAGCCCAAGGAGGCCACCCAACTGTTGGTAGGAAGGCCCAGCAGAGGTCCAGCTGTGGGTAGGAGGACCCACAGCTCCAGCGAGGCCAGGACCTGGAAAAAACAGAGCTGACATAAGCAGACAAATATCCTCCCCCACTCTGAGCGTCTGTTTTCTCTACGTCACAGAGCTCCGGTAATTTCTCACAGTGGTACATTTAGTAATATTCCTGCAAAATAATTTACACCTTTAAGGACATAGCTATGAATCTAATTAATGGCAGAGACCAATTTTGCAGCCTTGGAGTAATTTTTAAGTTAATATGCAGGAACCATAAAAGTATTTTTAAATGAACCATTTAAAAAAATGCGTTTCAAGAAGATTTAATCTCTCTGGGTTGGAATGCAACTAAGATGAAGAAAGGAGGATCGGGAGGCTGATAAATTTGGTGTTGCACAAAACGGGCATGAGGGTGTACTCGAGGGGCTCTGTGCAGTCCCCAGCAGCTGGAGGACTTCCCTTCCCCTCTAGGGACCTCCACTGAGTTAAAGCTGGATCCTTGACTACTCTGCAGAAAAGAATTTCAGGAGAAGCCAAGGGAAAGCAAAGTTAGTGAGTTTATTAAGTAGAGTTAGATAGAAAAAGGATCCTATGCGACCCGGAGGCCCAAGACCTAGGTGTGAGGTTGCCATTGACTGTCCTTACAATGGCTCTGTGGCCAGACAGTGGCCGAACAGGCCTTTAATCCCAGCACTCAGCACTTGGGAAGCAGAGGCAGGCAGA